AATAAAAAACTGATTATCATGTTGCACATTAAAAAAATCTTTAATTATTCCATTACACTGACTCAAATATTTTTTCCGTTCCCAAATATTGAGATGCCAAAAATAATTTGGGATGTCAAAAATAATTTGGGATTTGAAACTTTTTGATCCTCGGGTCCCAAATAATTTTGGCATATTTTGGCAGCCATAATGCCAAAATAATTTGGGATTTGGGTGGTAGGTATACTTTACACCATACCCAATACTCTTGATATAAAGTAGCACGACTTTGTGTCTCAACTTGATCTCCAGACCATGGTGAAATATAATCGATTATAAATTATTTTGGGTTTGATAAATGCTCCAGAATTGTATCTGTTTTCATTTTAGTAGTGGAAATATCTTGTGGATCCCAATCAGAGATATCACGGCTAAGAAGGTATGACATAACAACTTCTGGTGTATTAGGATACTCTAGTATTTTAGCCAAATGTTTGAAATATGGTATATTCATTCTATAACGTGAAGATACATCGAAACAAACTATATGAGAATCTCCTCCATCTATTTTGAGTGGGGCATCCTGATTGCTTGTTACTATAAATGTTGAGAAGTCTCATAAATGAATAGGTTCAAGACCTTTACGTTTTATGCTCACCTTTCCATCCATTATAAGGGATTTAAGATGACTATTGAATTTGTGCCATTTCCCACTAGACATACTGGTCTCATTCATAACTATAAGTTTTTTACCTTGAATAAAACTATTAAATTTTTCAAGAATTTTTTCTAGATCGGATATTGCATAATAGAGATTTGGTCCTAAAACTTTATCACCAATAAAATCAATAATAATATTTTTTCCACATTGTTAGAAAGTTGACTTAAATACACAGATTGAACGAGATTTCTTTTCTGGTTTTTGTACTAAAAATGACCACCAGTTCAAGATGTATTTATTAAGCTCTTCATTCTCATTACAGATAACATTTTTTATGTGTCAGTGAAACACATCCATAATTTCTTTATTAATTTCTGGTACCAGTTTAGCTATAAATTCCAGGAAAAGATTAAAGAATTTGGTTTTTGGTGGGATTGCATTTGGAGAATATGGAAGAAAGTTGATTTTGTGGTAAACGATTAAACCTTTTTTAGTTGCCCGTTCTATTAATGATTTTAATTTTATCGACTTCCTTCCAAATTCGACTATATTAATTTCATAATTAACAAGTTCTAGTTTGAGCACAAATTTAAAGGTGAGACCACCATCCTCATCTTCATCTTCAACTTTAAATATCCAAAACTTCTTACCTCTATCGATAGAAACAATTGTGGCTTAGATAGCTTCGTAAACCTTACTACGGGTATATTTTTCTCCTGACACACACATATTAATTAAGTCACCTCATATGAAATGATTATTTGGATCCGTTATTCTAGGTCTGTCTAATTTTACCAAAACTGGAAGGCTTTCTTCTTGTTCTGAAGCTTTTTCTTTAATGGTCAGCTTTATTGAAGGTTTTCTGGATCCAGGTTTCTTATTATTATTTGCACGATGACAATAGAAACTATATGATTTTTTTTTTCGGATAACGTATGCATTATCACTTGTATGTGGGTCTTTATAACCATATTCTTGATAACATAATGGACAAAATGCTGGAGTCACCTGTTTAAGAGGAAAAGTATTAGGAAAATTTTCACGTGAATATGAAAGTTCATATCCTCCAATTTCGAATTCTTCTAATAATTTTGCAACCAAATTGAGTTCGGGTTTCAATATTCTCAGTAGTTTCAGTACGTGCGTTAGAAATTTTTGTAACTACTAGTTCTGAGACAGATAAGAGAGAACTATCTATAACTGGCACCTCGTCATTAGACGGGTGAAGTATAAAATCAAAGACAGAACTTTCTTTTGGATATATTGCTTTTTTTATTCATACATGTTCTTTAGTTGCTTCAATAAATTTCGGAGTTCCTAGTATTCATAAGGAAAATGAGCTTTTGTTGGTGATGTTATCAACAATTTCCTTCTTTTGTAAATCTACTGGGAGCTTCTTACAAATGAGTTCAGTAAATAGCACACAAGCCATTATATTTTGGAGAGCTTTAATCATTGGTATGGTGAATGGTGCCCCAAGAAATACTTTGCAAAATTATATATGATATTGAATTACTGATAAAAGAAAATATGACTGTTGGTAAAGTAAAAATTATTTTTGATAGACCTCCAAAATATATAGTAATAGAACTTTTAAACTGCAAACCTGGTCTGTATGATGACCTTCCACCAGATAATGTACTGAACTACCCAGTTAAACAAAAATACAAATATGTATGCAAAACAAGAAATGGATCAAGTATAAATCGAGAATTTCAAAAAACTCAATTACCTATTACCCCAGCCTCTGCAATTACAGAATTCAAATGTCAAGGCACTACATTAAAGAAAGCAATTGTTGGTCTAGATGGTGGAAAAATAAGAGCTGGTGTTTACATAATTTTATCATGTGTACAAAAATTAAAAGATGTTATGATACTTCGACCTTTTAATCAAACTAAACTCAATATAACAATTGATCCTAATCTTTAAAAAAGAACTTGAACGTTTTGAAGACCAATCAAAAATAACTAACCATTTGCTTGTATAGAATAATTGCATACACGACGTTCATAATTAAAACTTTTTTAAATTGAACTTTATAACTTGTCTGTCCCAAAGAACTGATTATGTATACAATAAAAGGTAAATAAATAAATAAATATAAATTTTAAAATTGCAGTTTTACTAAAAACAACGTGAATTTAAAGATCGAGTAATGGCATGTGACAAAACTGAAAACAAAAAGCGTCGTGTGTTAGGAATAAATATTATATATCATGTATTTTTTTTTTTTTGTATTTTGTGGCTCAGAAAATTACCCTAAGGACCTACAACTTGGGCTGTGTATATAATAAAGAATTTAGCGGCGTTTTACCTTTTGCTTGGTTGTATAAATTTTCGCATATATAATCACGTTTACTTTTGCATATATTTCACAAATTTTTTACCAGACAGGAGAGATCAAGTAACAATGAGCAATAATCGCTAATGGCTTAAAGTTACACCCGATGGTCAGAAGCGTGGGCTAATTATTTTAGATCTCGGAGAATTCAAAGTCCTATAACCTGATAACAGCACTAATAGAAATTGTCATGCTATCTTTTTCGTGTTTTGTTTGCATGTTAAAAAATTTCGATGAAACTTTCAAAAACGCATCTCAAGGATAATGTTTAGAAGAAATAAAAATGATACAGGTCAAGAACGACACATTTGCGTCCAATTAGATCACATGGTAAGATATTAACACATATAAGATAACACGTTAAAAAATTTCTCCATTTATTGTAATAAAGACAAAATATCACAGGTTCATAATTGATACATATCCTACACCTATTGGGTACCTGATATTACAACTAAGACCAGCTTTTTGACTGATTTATTTTCTTTTATATTTGTCTAGTTTTAATATATAAATCTTAGTCCATGATGATAATCATATAAAAATTTCATTAAATATTTCTTCTATCGTTATAATAAATATAATAAAATTTTAGAACTTGAAATCTATATTATTATTATACAGAAAGAACAAAAAGATCTATGTTTTACTTTCATTCAAGTATTAAAATAATTAATGAGTTTCAACTACTTGAGCTCCCTCATTAACAATTTCCAACACTTTTACAACAGTGTCTATTCCTTTTTCAGAAAATATATTTGTAATAGTTTCGGAGATATTATCAAAATTATGTGTAGCGAGAACCAAAATTGTGGGACCTGCCCCGCTTAAGCATATACCTAATAAACCTGGATGTGTGTTGGGATTTACACTGACAAGTATTTCGGGAAGACCAGGAATCTATTAAAAAGGGTTGAAAATTTAATTTATTTTAATTTTAATATAAAAATAATAATTAATAATTAAAATCATTAATAATTAAAATCATTAATAATTAAAATCATTAATAATTAAAATCATTAATAATTAAA